AGTTAGTTTCCACCCATTTTTTCTTGTCCTGCCCTCTGGTGCTTTGGAAAACAAGTTGACCCCCTCCTCTTTGTGGTAACCTCTCAAATACTGGAATAGTGCTATCATGTCCCCCCAGTCCTTCTTTTCTCTAGACTGCCCATACCCAATTATTGCAATCATTTTTCATATGTTTTTGTCTCCAGGCTTTGTTTGCTCTTCTTTGCACTTTTTCCAAAAAATTCAATATCTTTTTTGTAATGTGGTAATGAAAACTGGATGCAGTGTTCCACATGTGGCCTTACTAAGGTTTTATAAGGTGGTACTAATACTTCACTTGATTTTGATTCTATGCCTCTGTTTATACAATCAAGGATTGTAATAGCTTTTTTGGCTGCTGCCGCACACTGCTAGCTCATATTTAAGTGACTGTCCACTAGGACTCCAAGGTCCCTCTCACAGTTACTGTTTTTGAGCCAGGTTTCCTAATCTATAATTGTACCTTTGGTTTTTCCTGCCTATGAGTAAAACCTTGCTTTTCTGTATAAAGCCCATTGTTCAAGTCTATCAAGATCCTTTTGGATGCTGAGCTTGTCTTCTGGGGTGTTGGTTATTCCTGCCAGCTTAGTGTCATCTGCAAATTTGATGAGTTCTTCTTTTAGTCCCTCATCTAAGTCATTTATGAAGGTATTGAAGAGTACTGGGCCTAAGATGGAACCTTATGGTACCGCATGGCTTACTTCCCTCCATGTTGATGTAGTACCATTAAGGACGATTCATTGGGTATGGTTTGTCAGCCAGTTAAAAATTCATCTGATGGTGATGCTGTCTATCCCACATTTTTCTAGTTTACCAAGAAGTAGGTGGTGGTCTACTTTGTTGAATGCCTTGCTGAAGTCTAAGTATACTATGTCCACAGCATTTCGCTGGTCTATTAATTTAGTCACTTTGTCAAAGAATGAAATAAGATTGGTTTGGCATGATCTATTTTTAACAAACCCATGCTGGCTACTAGTTATAATTTTGTTTCTAGATGTTAAGATCAGCTGCAAGGAAGAAGGTGCATGACTCACTGCAGCACAAGGAAAATGGACCATTAATAGTAAAATGATGAAAATAACCAAAAAGTCTCATTCTCTATCAGAGGATAGACTGTGTGTGGATTCTTGTGCAACATGCAAACCTAATTAAGAAAATGAAATATTTATTGTATTTGTCACACATTGGCTGTTTAGCAGAAGGACAAAAACTCATTTCAACAAGGAGAGATTAGCAAGATTGTTCAGTTTGCTCTCATTAAAGTCTATGACAAAGGAACAGTGTGAAGTAAAATTTAAAGGCAATTTATGTCTCTGTGTGTGTGTACCTCAAAATGGAGAATGATGAAAGGAACCCTCCCAGAAAATACATTGTTTGAAATAAACAGTGCTGTGGCTAAGGCAAAAGCAGCCAAACAATGCAGTCACATAACTTGTTTAAGCCCATGGCACAAAAGAATGTGATATAAGAACCCAGATGTTATTCAGAAATTTGAGTATTTAGCAAAATGATTGAGAATGCAACCACATGCAGCTCAGTTGAAATGCCCGAGAGGAAAGAAAAATTGATGAGGCAGTTCCTGGAACTGGCCCAGCCAATATTTGTAGGCCAATGAAGTAATGACAACAGGCAGAAACAAATACCTATTCATGTTTATAAACAATTTACTTTAGCTTTATAACTTGCTACCTGCTCAGTTTACGAAAAGAATTTAAGGTACGTATAAATGTCTTCGGTAAGCAACAAATTTGACAGAAAGCTCCAGGTTCTACACACAAATAATGTGGGTGAATACATGGTGGATAACATAAAAAAGTACTTGAAGGAACAAGGAATCACATGAAATTATTACGTTTTATATGCCAGAACAAATGGCACGGATAAGAGGAAACCTCTCTCTAAGAGAAATGAAGTTCATACTACAAGATCCAGGACTGGCAAATAATTTCTGGATGGAAGAAGTTACAAATGAAGGCGAATATACGCATCCCGGGACGATGTTGCAGGATCCAACATGGGTCGGTCACTGGGACGAGAGATTTTATCAGACTCGTGTTGGAGCCCATCTTCAGGGAACTTCTCTCTATCAGAGTGTGTCTTGACAGGATGCAGTGGAAGAAGTCATCACTGCCTCGTCTCAAGAACGCATTACTAATAAGGCCACAAATATAATGCCCCATAAGTTGTGGCATGGAAAGAAGCCCAAACTAGGGTATATTTGCCAGCCTATTACAATATTAGAGCATTTGGTTCTGAAGTCTAAACCTATGCATCAAAAATAAAAAGGACCAAACTCGGTATTAGATGTGAAATCCTGTTGCCTGGATACCAACAATACTGCAGGGATAGAGAATCCTGGATCTCTCCACACAAACATCCAGCATGACTTATTTTAATGTTCAGAATATACCTTGAAGGATATTCCTTACACCCGGATGATCAACCTGAAACCATTTGCTTCAATGGAAATTTTCATCATGCGCTAATTATTCAACGGCACATCAGATCCAGAAACACAAACTGAATCGTTGCAGCTGTGATGTTCAGAGAGATCCAGCAGCAAAGTTTCACCCTGAATATTTTCCTACATAACCAAAAAGGAACAGATAGAAGAGTCTTGTTTTTGGAAAGACATTGAGTAAGGGTTTACTAACAAATCTAAAGAATGAAAAAACCCCTGCAAAAAAGGAAATCAAAACATTTCACAAGAGTACTTGAAAACTCATTAAGTGACCTGCAAGGAAAGAAAATAATAGGATGAAAATGGGTTTTCAAGATCTAATGCAATGCAGAAGTGGACGCCCAGCGCTGTAAAGCCACAAGGCAAAGGAATATATTAAAAAATATGGAGTGAAAAAATGAAGATCTGGTGTTGGGAACAGAGCAAGGAATTGCTATAGGAAGAGAAAAGTTTACTCAATTCTGAGAAAATAACTCAAAATAATCTCATCTTGATTTTGTCTGGCATAAAATGTGGTAGAGAGAAATTCTGTCAGGACTGCAATATACAGTACTGCTATTTTACTCTACTACAATAAAGAAATCTCTGTTGCTTCTGTTTTTTGACCTTGGTTATTTCAACAGACTAACTAATGAAAACTATGCTGAGACTTTTGCCATAACACTTCAATATAAACACTGCTCAGTATAGCAACAGCTGGGAATATGCAGGTGCATCACCTTGGTGTAAAGTTTGCATTTCTGCATGGAGAAATCAAGGAAGACATCTATGTTGAGCAGTCACCTGGTTTTGAGGAACCAGGAAAGGAAGACTTACTGTGCAAACTTCAGAATAGTACAATATCTGTGGTCAAAGCAAGGAACAAGAACCTGAAATTTAAAAAAAGCTTCCAACAAGGTAAAGCTGGCTCTTTATTACAGATATAAAAAGAAAGATGAAATTCCTTTGGAATGATTTAATTATATGCTACCACAATTAGGATTTACAAGAAATAGCACAGAACCTCAACAAAGAAATAAACATGAAAGATCTGGTAGCATGTCTTAACATTCTGGCATTGAGATAGAAAGAGAGAAGGATGGAAACTACTTCCTTAAACAGAAACAAAAAATAAGGGATCATCTTCAGGGTGACTGAAGCCAATGATGCTAATATATCAATGGAAACAGACTTCCTGAGGCAAATTGCAAATCATGAGTCCCTACCTGAGAGAGACAAATACAAGGTGGAAGTTGTGGCTTGGTGAATGAACTGGTGAAAAGGCTGTTGGAACAGTAACTTCAATTGCACTGGCTCTATAAATCTCATGACCTACAATTGCAAGAGGCAATAAAATAGGAATTTTCTGTGTCTTTCCTGTTTATCCCTTACTTTGCCTACTCTTAATTTGTGAAACTGCTGCTTTCTGCCTGCTTTTGTCCTCACACACATCCCTTCTCTTGATTCTCATTTGAAAGGGATGTTACCTTGATATCACCTGTATATTTCTCTAATAAAGCCTCTTTGTGTTCAGGTTAAAAAAGGTGCCTAATTAGGCTCATTTTCCACTGCTCAAGTACATACAAGGACTTTCCTTCAACAACACCAAAAATACCAATTCACAATAAGTGCATTTCTTTTTCTGGTGCAATATCTGTTTAAGTGTATAAATGGTAATTAGTTTTCATAATTTTGCATCTCCTTTTAAGTTCCTGTACTCGGGCTAGAAATAACATTTTCTGATTTATCTTTGTATTTCAAAAGGGATACATTCACTCATGTCCCCAGGAATGCAGTTCAATTCCTCAAAAGAAGATGAGAGAAAGAAGCCAGTTCTAATGAGTTTTATTGGGTGTTCCTCAAGTTCAACAACCCCATCTAAACTCAAAAGAAGAACAAGCCACATATTTTAGTGGCATAAGAGGAAATTGGCATGGAACAGATGTTTTAATTCATAACATATCACACATGCCATATCTTTCAGTTACTGCAATTGTTCTGGATGATTGCTGGATGATCAATGTAGACTATTACAGCAAAAAAAAATGCTGACTGAGACTTCTTGGAAAGAACAAATATATCTTGTCTTTTGCTCTTAGAATAGAAATAGGTAAGAAATATACTATAGAGGGGTGAGAGAAAAATAAGAAATAAAAAACTATATTTCCTGTCTCCTTATTTTTGCTTGATTTGGTTTTTCAATGAGGGTGAATTGTATTTTCTCCAGAGCTTAAATGCTAGACAGAATAAGCCATTTGGAATGTTTCTTTGCTACATTTTATAATTAAAATCCAACCAATCAGAAGCCTTATTGTTTAGGGCTTTAAAGGCTTGTAGTATTGGCTTTCCCTTACAAGACAAGCCCTCCAGTGACAGTGTGGACTTTTCATATCTCATTTCTTTAAGAAACTAAAATAGCAAAGCTACCACAAAATACTTTTTAGAGATGTAATTAAAAAAATAAAAGATTGATTGGAAAATATGTTTGGAACTCTAACTGTGCTGAGTGAATGACTGTAGAGCAAGATGGCTACTTGGCTGGTATAGACAGATGGTGGACTGGAGAGGGTTGAATTCTGGCAGCACAAAGAGAACATGACAGAATTAGATAGACTCCACATAGTTAGCTGGATAAAGACCAAGTTGCCCGTTGTCTAGACGTCCTTTGCACCACCCTTGTTCATCTTCTTCACCTAATTTGGTTAATTCATCACCTAGGAAAATAATAATAAATTACAAATTGGGAGCACACGATCAATCTGATATTCCCTCTCTCAACTGTTTCCCTACACTGAGTTCTCTTGTGTATTTGATGTTGAGACACATATGTAAAACTAAAACCTATGTGGAAAGAAGCAAGAGGGCATGTGATTTAATGAGAAAAAGATCAGTGGGAAAAGAATATAATGTACCTTCATACTATGATTTCAAAAGACTGCCTTTTTATTAAAAACAAAATATGAATTTTTCTTAGGGCTGCGAAGTGCTCTGGGTTGTACTGCTGCATTTGCAGTGGTCAAAGTATCCCCCAAATGTCATGGCTACTTCAAAATGTTGCAAACAGGTGTTACCTCTGTGCTATTATATGCTGCAGAAAGATTTTTTTTGGCATCAACTCTGAAGCACTGCACAACCTTAGTATATGCAAGTGTAATATATAGTTTGCTACCAACTAATTTCCTTAAATAGATGCTAATGTAAGCTTAATTGGCACAATGACCCCATCAAGTTAAACCATGATTTTGTTAGCAATGGCTTGTTGAATAAATTACAATTGTCTATGTTTGCATATTGTTGTTTAGAAACCACAAGTTGGATTCATATTCAGTGAAATGACCAACTATCAAATAAAATGACTCGACACAAGAAGTAAGTGAAAATATTGGTGATACAGAAAGCCATTTTACCTTATATCTTCAATTAATGCGTATAAAAAACTAGTTTCTCACATGGCCATACTAGTTTGATAAGTTATCTCACAGTAACTGGCTCCTGTGGCTAATTGCTTCTACATAAATGACTTCTACCTATTGCTAATAACTATAATAAAGGGCACATTGTTCATGATCCCTGTACAAGTGTAGGAACTGAATGGCACTGACAGGTATATATGGTACTTCAAGGAATATATGCACAGGTGTCCTGTAGAAGCCATAAAGACATCATATGCATCATGATGTCCTCATGCAACTGACATAAAATATGTACTTTGCATTATTTGTGCGGTGATATGATGCACAGAAGGTTATTTCCTCCTGCCTCCTCCTCATCCTCATGAATACCGAGAGAGATACGGTCCTAAAATAGTATGTTCTATTTAATTTAATTTAATTTAGAGCCACTTTCTAACATTATCTCCTTTCTGTTCAGGTTAAGTTTTCAATCAGTCTTGAGAATTCCTCAGGCAGTGCTTTAGTAGAGAGAATGCATATGCTCAAAGAAAAAAACTTCTAATATCTAACGGGTAGCAACACTTTAAGGTCATTTGTGCATTAACTGCATCTATGAGGTAATTGCTAGCAAAACCAGCAATACGTCTTTCTTTAAGAGAATTTGCCAAAAGAGCAGGAGATTACAAGTATATGACAGTAGGAATGAGTGCATTTAAATGCACTTGATACAACATATTTGAGAGCTACAGCTCCCACTACAAGTAATTGAACAGGGCCCTTTTGCAATAAATATAAGAGAGTCAAAATTTGTATTAATATGACATTATAGATAAAAAAGAAAAGTTATGTCTGCCATTACTAGATTTTTGTTTCAGTTATATTTTTAGAATTTGCTAATGGCTAGAAAATATGCAAGTTGAATGCCTTACTGCAATGCACCCATTTAAGAAATTAAAGAAATGTCTTTAAAAAGACACTTTGATAGAAGACTTTTGATCTTTGCTTTCGAAAAGGACAAATTTCCTCATTACTTATTGAGCAACCTGAGCATACCACTGTTCACGCCATACCTGCTTTGAAGCTCAGCTCATCCTGCTCTTGCCCATCGTAATCGTACAGAGCTCGTACACGGACACCTTTCCCGGCTATTTCTTCTTCAAAGGAATTGGCACCACCATTGGCTTCACTGGAGTTGTAAGTGTTGCCACCCTCATCGTCTGACCACTCTGCAGCGTAGGCTTGGCCACGTTCATAACTGCTGACACTGGTAATGGAACGTGGCATTGTAAGAAATGATATTACTGCATATATCTCTGATATAACTAATTCTGTGGGATGACTGGAGATAGTGAGACTCTCGTGCATGATGCCCACATGTATTTTAAACATACTATCTTGCCAGTCTCAAACTGGAAATATCTCATATGCTTACCTGCCACGATCTCCTGCCTGTGCTGTTGCTTCCCCACCTCCACTGGCATTGGGTGTGTTGCCTCCCTCGTTCTTTTTAGGTTTCTCTCTTCGGTTTATTGTTTGTGTCGCATCTGGATTCCATTCCTGCAGATGAAAAAACGTTTACCTAACCCCAAAGCCTCAGTTTCCAATACTTCAACTGCACTATGACTCAGCTCCAGTCTTAAGAACATAATAAACACATTCTACTTCCTGTGGTAGTTTACCACGTGGTTCTGGTAAAACCAGAAGTAGGACATAGAAGCTATTCTGAAGTCACTTCAGTATTCAGAGAGGCAGAATTCCATTGTGGGGAGCAGCATCAGGGGAGGGCAATGTCTTAGGCTTTAGTTTTTCTAGACACATGGACCGTGGCTCTTTCAACCCTGAAGCTCCAGATATCCATCATGACTAATAGCCATGAATCTATAACCTACAGCTTGGCAGTGCAGCCATCTTTGGAGGCATCATCCTGTGACAGCTTCTTACTTCTAACTGAGGCCAGTTCATTGGCATCCCGGGGCCAGAGGTGTTGCGGAACCACCGAAGGTCTTCTTGTGCATCGGCCATACGAATGGTCTGCTCCAGCTCACGGTAGACTTTAGAATAGCTGCACGTTACAAAAAGATAAAGTAATAAAGACAGGATTGAAGTAAGAAACCACCATTAGACACATTAGACAAAGAAGCTTAGTGGCAGAGCAAGTAGAGAAACTTAAATGAGAATATTATGGCATAATCACCTTGCCATATTCACAGAATTTTAGTGATTTATACTTTTATTTATTGCCATTCATTCTACAACATTTAAATCCCATTTACTTTCTATAAACAAATTTTATATGGGTTCCATTATTCCTCCCAGCATTTTTTTCCAAGAAAAAATCTGTTAACGAGGGAAATGTTGATGATTCTGCGAGTGGTTTGGCATGGAAAAAGTTCTACTTAGGATTAGAAAATATTTCTGAAATCTTTAAACGCTTTATGCCTCAGAGAAGACAATAATGAGATTGTGAGATAAATAGACTGTATGTACGTAATCTGTGATAGTAGCCCTTGTATTTCATTGAATTAATGTATATCACATCGGGAGCAGCCAATGACCTTGGTTCCCATGGGATAAAAGTTTATTTAGACTAGCAAAGCACCTGGCAAACCCCCTCCCTCCATTCTATGTGTCAGCCTAAAATGAATAGGGAAAATGGCTACAGCCATGCTCATTTTTAGAGTTGACAGTCCAGCTCTTCTCAGAAAGAAAGAGTCTCCTGTAGGGGAAAGAAAAAGCAGGACTGTGATTGATCTATTACCGGATCCGGATTAGGGAGGGGGACAACAGCTTTTAATTGCCTGTTGGGAAACTTCCAATTTAAAGTGATGCCTTTTGGACTGCAGGGCCCCTCTGCTGTGTTTATGCAATTGATAAATCAAGTGCTCCATAATCATTTATACAAGGGGGGTTTGGTTTATCTTGATTACATCCTTATTTACACTGAAACCAAGTCTGGAGACACAAGTAACAATTCCCCAATACAAAGTTAAGAAATCCCACCCCTAAGGCTATATACAAGCAACTATGTTCCCCAATACATCTTCTTGGCGGGCTTTTTTAGCAACGCCCAGCCTGCAGTCTCGGGAGCAGATGATAGAAGACAAGAGTCCAAAAATCTCTGTAGAATCTTCAATAAAAAAAGGAAAACTGACCACTCAACTTGTTCTAATAAAGCACAAGGGGGCGCTAGCAAAACATTTAATGCTCCCAATATTGTCCTTTCTTATTTTAAAGATGCCTCCAGATCAGACTTTGAATCACTTTGTTTCATTCATGAAGTTTTACAGAGCTGCTAAAAAAATCAACTTCCACTTTTGTGACTCCCATATTTTTTTATGGGAGGTGATTATTCCCCCCTCACACACATAAACATTAGATTACAGAGAAGATGGAGCAATGTTCAGAGCTGGCTTGGCTGCTTTAGTTTTTATGTTTTTATAAAAAGCAGAATAGCAGAATAATAAGAATAACAATACAAAGACCTGCAAATAGAAATAGAACGACTATGGCAAAAGCAAGCATAGGTAGTACCAATAGTGATAGACAGTTTGGGTGCAATCCCAAACAATTGGAGCACCACTTGAACACCATTGGCATTGACACATTCGCCATCAGTCAATTGCAAAAAGCAGCTTTACTAAGACTTTTAACATCATTAAATACCCACCTCTCCCTATTCCAGGTCTTTGGGAAGGGACTTGAGAGGTGGATAAAAATGCCAAATCCAGTCTGAACATCTGGCTGACTGTGCGATGAATAATAATAATAATAATAATAACAACAACAACAACAACAACAATAATAATATCATCATCATCATCATCATCATCATCATCATCATCATCAGGAAGGCTTACTGACTACTGGAGAGACCAAACTGGCCTACAAGAAAGACCAAATGAAGAAGAGAATGGAGGCATGGGAAGACAAAGCCAGTAGTCATGGCCAATACATTAAAAAAAAATAGCTGGGAAAGCAGATAATAACAAGACCTGGAAATGGCTAATAGCAGGAAAGTTGAAGAAAGAGACCGAGGGACTAATTCTGGCTGCACAAGACCAAGCCTTAAGGACAAATGCATGCAAAGTCAAAATTGAGAAGACAGCAACAGACAGTAAGTGCCACCTATGCAAAAAAGCTGTAAAAAAGTGGACCACCTGGTAAGCTGCTGCAAGAAGATCGCACAGACTGACTACAAGCAGTGGCATGACAAAGTAGCAACAATGGTGCATTGGAAGATTTGCAAGAAATATCATTTGCCTGCAAGCAAGAACTGGTGGGACCATAAAATAGAAACAGTCATAGAAAATGAAAATGTTAAATTGCTCTGGGACTTTAGAATTCAAACAGACAAGCACCTGCCAAATAACAACCCAGACTTAACAATTGTCGATAAGAAAGACAAAAAAGTCTGAATAGTGGATGTGGCAGTGCCTGGAGAAAGCAGAATAGAAGAAAAAGAACTGGAGAAGATAACAAACTACAAAGACCTACAAATAGAAATTGAAGGACTGTGGCAAAGGCAAGCAAGGGTAGTACCAATAGTAATAGGCGCCTTGGGTGCAATCCCCAAACAACTGGAGCACCACTTGGACACCATTGGCATTGACAAATTCGCCATCAGTCAATTGCAAAAGGCGGCCTTACTGGGAACAGCTTCCATCCTGTGACGATATCTGTAATACCATCAATTCAAACATCCATATCTGCCTATCCCAGGTCCTTGGTAAGGACTCGACAGGTAGACAAAAATGCCAAATTCAGTCTGAACATCTGGCTGACTGTGTGATGATCATCATCAACAACAACAACAATAATAATAATTCTACCTGCTGTTCTCTGCCAGGTTCAGGTGTCGCTTGATATCTAACAGCACCTCTTTCAGGAAATTAAGCCTCTTCTCTTCAAACTGCTGGCATTGCTCAAAGACCTGTTCCATGCTCTCCATATACTGTGGAGTGCCCTTATTCACCTCCTCCACAACCTTCTCATATTTCTCCAGAGCCTGTCCAGGTAACAAAGGGAAATAGATAAGTTTCCTTGAGTAAGGCCACTGCTCAATCCTATCCATGTAAGATTTTCTAGGTAGGTAGGCATGCATTATTTTGCTCTTTTAAATATAACATTGATTGACATTATTTATAGATTGTCCATAGAAGTAATAAATAAAATAAGGCATAATCCCAAATAAACTTGCATAAAGATTTCAATTATGAGTTTATTCCATATCAGCACTGAATTAAAGATTAATCTCAGCTGTAATTAATGTCAGCTGCAACCATCTCTATTGGAAGCATGCTTTAATATTGTTCCTGGAACTTGTTATACAAATAAGAAACAAAGTTCCAAGTTAATTCTGAATTTAGAAAATGCAGTCACCATGTGTGAACTTGTGACAGTGTCACCGAATAGCCTTTGGATGGGATTTCTGTTTCAGATTCAAAAAAGAAGGAACAGCAGCTGATATGGAAAGTAATTATTGGGCCTTAAATAATACACATAAATAAATAACTGCTACAATTTAAAAGTAAATTGTACTTTCTGAGGTGATCAATATATCTCGTCTACAGACAGAAATGTATACATTTGATATGTATGCTTACATCTTCATCTATATGTAAACATGAAGATGACTATTTTTCTTGTGTGCAGTTATATATTTCTGCGTGTGAGAGTGATTGTGTACATAGATTGTTGCTTGTTCATATAAAAAGATGAGCATTAACTTTGAGAGTTATTTTGGTGAAGGTCATTCCTACCTTTTGTACATCTTGCCTGCATTTTTCCACTTTGTCTTGAAGCTTCTTTTGCTGGTCTGGAGTAATAGATTGCTCGGCTTTGCTATTAGCTTCCCGGGTCATGGCGAGTTTCTCCTCTTTGCATGCCAAGTGATAGACTTTCTTGGCTGTTTCCAGCTGGTTTGAGAGACAAGAGAAAGAACCCAGACAAATTATTTCAGAGAGTCAGCATAAGTTATCAAATCCTTACCACTCGTGAATCTTCTGCATAGAGATTATAACTAATGTTCCCCACTCTAGCACCCAACAGGCAATCCCTTCCCATTAGAAATTCTCAAATTTCCTTAATGAAGTCTATGACCTGGGGTGATCTTGGCTGGAGATAATGGGAATTGCAGACCAAATCATCTGGAAGGTACCAAATAAATAAAATATTTTTAATAATAACTGTATTATGAGATGGCTTACTATGAGATCACCATAAACTGAATAAAATACATGGCCTAGTTTTCGTGTTTTAATGTATTGACATACTATATTTCAAAGTTTGCTTAGCAACTATGAAAGTTCTGGATTTAAAAATTTGGAGAAATTGAGAAGCAAAAATATGTAGTTTATAGCCATGAACTGAGCCATGCAGGTTGATAGAAAGTGATAAATATTATTTCCATAGGGATATCACCTCAGCAAGAAACAGCAACCAGTCAATGCTGGCTGATCTCAGAAGCTAATTAATTTATACTTGGATGGGGGAATCACTGGGAATTCCAGGGCTATAGATTAGTTTTTTAAAAAAGAAAAAAAACATATTTTGGAAGAATATCATGGCCTACTACATTTGTATCACTGCTGACAAAACTGTAGGGCTGCATTTTTTAGGTACTAAACTCAACTTGAGAGAATTTTTATCATTTTTATCTGCATATAGATATTACTTCATACAGTATCTAAGGATGTAATCTAACTCACAGTTTTCATGATTGCACAAGAGGCTGATGGGTTCTATGAAAGACTGGAGTGTGGGGAAAAAGGTTCAGCTGAATGCAGCCAAACTAGAGCAATATTTCTCAACCTTGGCCAATTGAAGAGGTGTGGACTTCAATGACCAAGAATGAGAAATTCTGAACTAAAACTTTGCCTCTTGGTCAGAAATTCTAGGAAATTTTGTTTTTTCTTTACTATTAGGTTCTGCAATCTGGAAAAGTTTGAAAGCTCCTGATCTAAACCACAAAGAAAGGGGCTTCTATAAATCGATGGCCCAACACTGACATTTCCTTTCCATGTTACATTAATATTTTCTTATTATACTGCCTTGGTTATCTTAAGAATCAACAGACATGTTTTCATCCCATTGCTAATTTGCTGCCCCCCCCAATGTATAGGATTCTGCATTGCAGCTCCCAAAATCCCAGTGAGTCTGACAATGGGAAGTTTTCATCTCAAAATAACTGGGAAATATCAGGTTGGAAAAGTTGTCAATGAAAGAAAGGCTATCTCAACCTCTGTCCATGGAAATTGATGGATTTCTTTCCTTTGTAAAGTAACTAGAGTTAAGAGATCTTTTGTTATCTTCTCTTGTCCACTCCTTCCTACCTCCTTCATCTTCTTGGCCCAGGGTTTCTGTGCTTTCCGAAAACCGTCTTCTGCTTCCTTGGCCTCCTTGAAGCCTCCTATGATCTGTTTGTGGAAAGCATCCTTCTGCCAGTTCTTCACCTTTTCAAAATCATCGTTCAGTAGGCTATTCTTAACTTCTTGGTGTAACTCGCTGACTTTGTCAGCCTCTGTCATTATGGCCATCCATGCCTTTTCCAAACTGCCATATTGGGGACCTATGCAAAAACATTACCAGTAAGGGTGGGATAATGGCTCAGCATCCTGAAATAACAGCCCATTTTTTCTGTACAGACTGAATGCTCCTATAATGCATTCAAAAGTTGACAGACTGTTCTACTTTATTAACAAATGAATTGTCGAGAGAGCTGAGAAGCCCACAGTGATGAAGCCTAAGGGAGGCTCTCAGAACGTCTCAGATACCCTAGTTACAGATTTTGTGATCATTATTTGTGATTGTAAAAGATCCAATCACTTTATGTGACTCATATTTACTTATACTGATATTTAAATGAGTAATCATGAGAGCCACCCTAAAAGGCATAAAGTGGAAGATTAAATCTTCAAGGAGTTTATTTTTTAATAAACAACATCATGGCTGCTTTGAAGACTCAAGAAGTGGTAATGGCAGATGGTTAAATACTCACTCCTCCCAGGATTCAGTCCCTCAGTCCTCAAAGCAATTGCAAGAGCCTGTGGTTTATGAAGCTAAACATTGGCAACCTGCTGCCCTCCAGATGTTTTGGATTACGAAATACATAGCCCCTTGCCATCGATCATGCTGTCAAATCTGATCGGTATTCAAGGTGCAAAAGCTTGGAAGACATCAGTTTGCTCATACTAATATTCAATTGCCTGAACAAAATAAATGCCTATAACCTTGCTCCCTTTCGTTATTCCTTCATCATGCAGAAAAGGATAGCATGCTACTATTGGATATGTACTGCAATATATTTACAAGTAAGATTATAATTATATATACATTTCAGCACAAGGAAGTTCTACTGAACTGGATTGGGTTCTTAATAAGCATGCATTTCATTTAACTGTAATATTTAACGAAACTTGTGAACTTCTAGTAGTGCTCTGGCTCATTTTGATTGAATGGCTTAATAAATATATTACATACTATTCTTAAATCTGAATTGTTTTATTGCAATAACCTTGGACCACACTTTTATCTGGAAGTAATATCTGTCAAAATTAAGAAGTGATTGCCTAGAAAGGCCCACAAAACTGCCTTTAAGGAAACTTGGAAACTTCAAATATAGGATGACAACAGTTTATGAACAGTCATGCTTTCCTTTTAAAGTAAATGAAAATAACTGAAGGAAAAAAACTCCTTGGGGTCTCTTCTCCCCCATATTGTCCAGGTTAAACCAAGAGAAAAAAAACTGATACAATTGTGCAGATTGCAATACCCTCTCCCTTTTGCTTTTGAAAAAGCTCCTTCCCAGACTACTCTTTTTCTATGCTATTACAAGGAAAAGAATACCTTTTTCTATCAGTTGCCTCCACCTCTTGGCCCAATCAACCAGCTGCTGAGCATACGCCTTCTCAATCTTGGCTCGTTCATGGACACAGTTCATCAGATCATTGCAAAGCCGATATCCATCATCAATCCGCTTCACTGTCCGCTTATAATTCCCCACCTGCCAGGCACATGAATAGTTGCCTGGAATAAGTGACTGGCTGTAGTTCCAGGAATCATCCTGGAGGCCAGGTTGGCTCAGGACATGTGGGGGGGAATGCACCCCGCAGGAAGCATATGCACCAGAGGGTGGAGAACAGGAGAGGTAGAGAAGAAGAGGGGGCATTTGATTTCAAAAAAGGAAAAACTCTTAAAAATGTGATTGCCGTGGGTATTCTTCTGCCTCTTTACAGAAAATTCTGAGTCTGACTCTTCCCTTCAAACAACAGATACCTGATAGATTAAATTTGTTGCATTTGCACAAGTACTGGGAAGGAATCAGAAAGCTTACTAAGAAAGAGCCTCAGAATCTGCTACCTGATGTAGCACTGGGACATTTTGCAGTTATTGTAATGTCTTAGAGCTCTGCCATAGTGCAGAACTAAAATTCAACCATTCTCTTTTCAGCATGAAAGGTATATTTTTGGAGTAAAGAGTACATTTCCTGATTCCTCTCCTGCAAAACAGGGAAAACATTTTTTTGTATGTGCTCACAATGATTGTGCAATCTGCCGCTGTGCCATTCTCCTCTAATTAGCCTGAACTTTTTGCTCTTTCATCACAATGATTCCACTTAATTAGAAATCATTCCATGAATGCGACCTTGCTGAATTTTTAACCAGCCAATCAGGTTTGGCTACCTGGCAAATTAGGATGACTAAGAATGAGAGCAAAGCCAATGCACTTATTTTTTTAACAACTTCAACGTAACTTTTACTAAGCATAAATTTACAACATCCCTCTCTTCCTAAATGGCCGAATATGGTCTCCTTTTTGATCAGCAAAATTATTTATCACTAATTTATTATAATTATTTAAGTATATTTTACCTTTTAAGGTAGAAATCCTACCAAAGTATTTCATAAGTTAATGGTCATAAGTAAAAATTATTATTGTTGTCATAATACAATTTCTAGAATCCTTCTCAGTAATAACGTTTGTCATTTTGACATGTATTTCAGTAGACTGAATGTGTAGTTTTTGAACATCTGTTTTAAAAAGAAACAACTGATTGCCAAGACCTGGATGTTGGTGGTGCAAACCAACTTTAATTTGAGAAATACTCTGCTATCAAAGGCGTTGGTGTATCTAAAGCACTTTAGACCCCAGCAGGAGACAGAAATGTTTGTGGCCCATCATTTCTTTCGTTCTTTCTGAATCATTTTAAAGTATCTGTTTATAAGATCTCTTTCTCACTGCAAAGTGATGGAATTTATTAATGCCAGCTTCAGAAACATCACATCTAACATGCTGATCAGACAGAGGGGGACTGTTCAGGAGATCAAAAAGGCAGAATGCAGCTTTTTTTTCTTTGCGTCTCCTCCTCCTTGTGGAGAAATCCTCTCTGCAAGGACTTCTCTAGAAAGCTTCTGGAGGGAACAGGCAAGGACTTGAATTTCTTTTTTCCTGTGGAGGTTACATGTCTCTGATATCAGGGGAAGAAATATGAAAAATCTCATAGAACCTTGGAACCTTCTCATGGAAGCTTTCTAAAAATATTTACTTTTTGAAGTGACTGTGTTCCCTAGTTCCTTGGGGTTTCAGCATCCTCAAGAGCAGCGGTTCTCAACCTATGGGTTGCGACCCCATTTGGGGTCGATCGACCATTTCACGGGGGTCGCCAAGCAAGGCTGTCTGCCATTTTTTTCCCCTTTTCCAGCGGGTGCCTTACCTCCCTTGAGCTGGGCCAGCTGGTGGTCGGCCTGCTCCGTCTCTGCCGCTTGCCAGCTACGCCTCGGCTGGCGCAGGGGGCGGAACCACGCATGCGCGGCGCTCCCGGGCAGGGAAAGTCCTCGACTTATGACCGGTTGGGTAGTCCTCGACTTACGACCGGTTTAGTCCTCGACTTACGACCGGTTTAGTCCTCGACTTACGACCGGTTGGGGGTCGCGGCATTAAAAAGGTTGAGAACCACTGCTCAAGAGGAAAAGCTGTTTTGCATTTGGCTGGCTCTTACTAAGTTAAGTCAGCCAATCATGAACATTTTTTCATGCCAAGGGGAGGTCCTTACCTCCCAGAAGCTGTCAGTTACTTCTTCAACAGATGCCACAGATTCATCACAGGAAGTTGACATTGTTTGCGGCCCTGGTTATTTATCACCAAGGGGTCAGCCACTCTGCCAACAGGACCAGACCTCATGCACTGCAAGGAAAGAATACAAATATGTAGGAGAAATAATCACCTGAATTTTACCTGGAAACAGGCAGAGGCTTTCTGGGAGACAAAATGCATGATTTTCTATTATCTTCCCATTTATGTGAACCTTCCACCTTTTGCCTTATGGTAAATAGCACCATGTTCTGAAATATATTTTTTTTTAATTTATCCAGCACACCCTTTTTTCAAACATTTTCTCTCAGCAGGAGACAAATCTATTTGTCTGGATTTGTCTTCTCCCCCCCCCCCAGAGGTCATTTATTAAGGGAATCCTTTTCAATGTGCATTATCTTTCAGAACAAGCAACAAGGGACATAAGATCTTTTTGCATATCAACAGTTTCCAGGCATAATAAATTAAATGCCACCATGTCAGATAGTAAAAGCTTAAAAGTAAAACCTGAAGAACTTATTCTGACTTTCTGGAAACATCTGCTAAATAAGAAGCATTTCATAAAAAGAATTTAGAAATGTTTCATCAGTTACAAAAAATAATTGTACATGACAGAAATATACACAGTGTAAGCAAGGTTCCCAAATAGGACTGCTATGCACTTTTGTTGCTTTCAATACTCCATAAATATTTTGTGATATCTTCAGTAGCAAGTCACATGACACAAACAAGAACATTGCTGGGAAAACTTACTAGATTTGGCCCTTTACCAGGCTTTTGTGCGATTACAATTGCAAAGTTATATTGCAAAGTTATTCTTCAGGGAAATACTTTCTTTAACATTAAAGTTAAACATTAAAATTCTTACAGAATGTTCTAAAATTGTCTTAAATCCAAAATGATAAAATCAAATTGGAGCTTGCTAATTGGAGAAGACGAGAATATTGCTTATAGTTCAAGATAAATAGGACTATTGAATTTGGGATGCAAACATTCTACATATCATTAAATGGCTAAGCATTCTGTATCCTTTTGGTATCGTTTTGTAGTTACCCAGATTTTTCGGCACAGAATGAACAATCTTAAACTCAACTGAATGCAATAGATTTGATCAGGCTGGTACTGAAAGAAGATTTTGTCTGCAGTACAGTTGTGTGAGTGTGTATAACTGAATTCTGTTGCATTAATTCATAATTTGCTTCACAGTGGCTTGATAAATAAGGTAATGAGGTTTTTGCAGCTAGAGACTAAGGCTGGTGATATCATGTCATTGGAATGACCTGTTCAAAACATTTGGCTGTATTTTGAGGGAGGATTTCAGGGGATTTATTTTGTTTCTAAGAAGAATAGACCCAACTTGGGCAATTTCTTTCTTTTTTCGTTTATTTTGATGGATTGATATTGATCAATCTTTTAAGGCAAACTATCAATCTCAAATGTGTTGAAACTTGGATCCTGCCCACTTTGGAGGAGCTCTGGATGAGGGCTCTAAGATGTATTGATAGAGACATGTTTGATTCTGGAGATGCAAATGGCCCATCCCCATTCTAGCCATAAGTATAGTAATAGTAATAAAGTTGGAAGCTATCTTGGAGGTCCAACCCCCCCCCCCCCGCTCAGGTAGGGAACCCTATACTATTTCAGACAAATGGCTGTCCAGTCATTACGACTGACTCTGTATTTACTTTCTACATAACCTGTATGGTGCCTGAGTTTCCCTGTTTTCTTACCACCTGTTTGATTAGTGCACTTGGTATGGCACTCACTATTAAAAGCTTGATTTTGCTTGACAGCTAGATTGATATTCTTGTCCACATACACCTCTATGTTACATGCTGATAACCCTATACACCTCTATGTTACATAGGCTGACAACCCTATAATTTTTAGATTGCCGGGAACAGGAATGTTCTGTATCAATCAACTCACTGTCCCTGTTGTTCAGTTTAAATATTTCTCCAGAAAATCTGTGAATTTATTGCCAAGTAACTCAGTCCCTTTCTTTGATGGATGCAAACCATCTCTTCTATACATTTTTTTCATTGAACCAGCTGCAGACATCATGACTAATATAACTAAAGCTTTCCTCTTTACACCACTCCTTTAGCCACATATTGAATTCTGCTATACACTGGCCTTTTCCATTTTATTCCTTATACACTGGTAAAACCTCTGAAAAGTAAGCCTACAACCTATCCTGCTAAGTTCCTGCCCCAAGCTCTGGAAATCATTCTGCACAGAGAGTACATCTTTTTGGGACAGATCGTTAGTGCCAAGATGTACAATAGCATCTGCTGTTGTACATCTATGATCTGCATCACATAATGCCTAGATTGCTAAAAATGCCATATACAACCTCAGCCAATGAAGGCATACAACAAAATATATTTCAGTTGGCTAACCTAGTAGATTATTGAACCACACCAGGCCTGCAGGAAAAAGAAAATTTCTTTTCTTCCAGGAAGCATCACAGTTGCTTCAGCAGTTTCTCCAAGATAAAAATCAGACATAGTAGAGAAGCAAAAAAACAGACCAAGTTTATTTTTTATATTGTTTGCTTTTAACCTTGAATTTACATGAGTAAAGGCCAACATATATTCAGTTAAACCCTTGTTTTTCAGGTGAGATCAGAGATTCTGTAAAAACAAGCTGTTTTGAAGTAGCTGTCATGTAATACTATAACCTCCAAATCATCCCCACTTGGATAATCATAGCAGAAGCCAGTCTTCCCTTAACTGATGCTTTACATGTATCTAGGAGCTTAGTTTCCATCATCCCTATCCAGCATATTTAACAGATGTTTTGGCTGAGAATAAGGGTTGCAGCTGAATGACAAAACTTGAGAAGTTTATGGTTGTAGATAGGATAGAGGGAAGAGGAGAAAAATGAAGAAAATCAGATAGGGTTTTGTAATAGCAATATTACTACTCTCTCTTAGATAACCAAATCCTACCCTCTTTTCTGTTGTGCCTCAACTATCTGCCTTTTTCTCTGCAGTCCCAGAGTCTTTTCCAATCTCTATCTGCAGCAAATTATCAGGCAGAAAATCAACTTGAAATTTTAAAAAACGTTTTCAATAATAATAAAAAAGACAATAGTAGATATAAACCTCTTCTTCCTCCCATCCCTACATAAACAATATGCATTTCTTTTCACTGTGCTGTTAATCCTTTAAAACCGATTATATATGGGGGTTCATATATGGAAAATTATGCTAATCATTCATCTAGAATCCAGCCCTGTTACTGTATAAATGGTTTTCCCAGATGATGCTGAGCTGGGCAAACATTGTGCCTGATCAATATTTATTTAGATTCACACATATATTTCCTATTATGCCCAAAGGAAGGTGGATTTAATCTGGATCTAGCTTCCCTTAACCTAGATCCCTGCACAATTCATGTTGGGTTACAACATGAAATATGTTGGGTTACAAGTGCCCTAGGTTTAACATTTTTCTAGTAATTGCAACTTGATCTTATGGGAAGACTATGCTCCTATCCATGCATATGATAAGGCAATGAAAAGAGAGGCTGATTAAGAGAAAGCAGAGGTCTTTCTGTTAGGCAGAAGAAAACTGTGGGTGTAATTCTTGTACATCAAGATAGAACAAGTGTATTTGTTCTTCCTCCGAACACCAATTACTGTATTAAAAACACAGGATTTCTCGACTCTACTGAATCTTAGTTTTCCTATTTATATACAATACTTTGTAGGTATTTAAGTGAAATATCAGAGTGACTTCCACCATATTATGTGAAGCAATATAAAAAGAATTTCCATTTGCAATTGGAATGGATTGGATATAACAAATGCCACAGGTGCCAATCAGCACAATGTATCAATATAAATATCCTCAGCTGGGAAAAGTGTCATATGAGTTATTGGTGGCAACATGGATTTTGCGTGTATGAATCATTTTCAGGTCTCATGGCTTTTAATCTCATTGGTGAAAGATTCTGGTGTATTGTTTCAACATCATGTGAAACCTGATTTAGTTTTATACTGTTATACGGCCCATGCTACAAAATGTTCTTGATCCCAAAATCAGCTGTTTGCCAGAATGCAAAATGACACAAGCACAAATCCTAGGAGGGGAACAAAGATGGGATGAATTGCTTAACTGCAGCACTTGGAAAGTGACACATCCAAATCCTAGAGCAGTGTTTCTCAACCTTGACAATTTTAAGGCACGTGGACTTCAACTCCCAGAATTCCACAGCCAGCATTGCTGGCTGTGGAATTCTGGGAGTTGAAGTCCATGTGCCTTAAAATTGTCAAGGTTGAGAAACACTGTCCTAGAGCCTTGGCAATGTGCTTATGCACTGATTGCCATCTGCAGTATTAGAAGACCCTTAAGGTACTATGCAATTTAGCTTAGAGATGACAAGAATCCATTTATACTGACTTAACAATTTAGAAATGACAGAATATATCTTAACAATTTAGAAATGACAGAATATATTGTGGTCAGCCAAAAACGATTGCTTTAAGAAAGAAGTTACTGATTAACCCAAATACTTCTGCTCCTCTTGCTTTTGGAACAGGAGATCCATGATTTTAATCATGGGCAGAAGAGGGAGGCATTTTTCTTTGGCAGGCTCAACTGATGCAGGATTCTGTACTGAAATGGTTACAAGAGTTTCTGAGATCGTCACAAAAGCTAGAGCTCACTGCAGTGGAACTAATTGCACCTCGAGGGGATTTGCTGTTATCAGAAACCTACAGTCCAGGCCACCCTTGAAAATAAATGTCTGACTGCATTCCTCACAGGTTGGCACAGCTATGTGCAGATTCATAAATGGATTGAGAGAGCAACTCATCTGGCAATACACAGACGCATACTCAGACACAGCAATACACGTTATAGGTAGATACAGAGCAGAAAACATGTAGCTCTCAGGAATATAACTGAAGTAAAGAAACATGCATGCCTGTAATATATACCTAATCATGATGGCAAGGGTAACAGCTCACTTACAATATAATCCGTATCCATAATTATACATTAACCATGCAGAAAAATACACCCACTGGCAAATAAA